ATTTCTTTTCTAAATATTTTTCAATTTTAAAGCATTTGATACTAGATCTAGAATGAAGAGTTCACCTACATGTTAATTTCTACTCCTTTGCAGGTGAGATCATGTATAAGGCCAATGAAACAATGTTCACAGACTTTTTTTTACCCCTTTGCAATTTAGATCATGTATGCTAGAAAAGAAGTGCACATTGTAGGCTACATCATTTGTCTGCTCCTTTCATTTGCAGATGAGGTCCTTCTTGTTGAGGACTTTACCAAGAATAGAAAAAACAACTTACCTTTATGTAGTGAATTCTGCCCACTTCTGTGAGAGGCAGATGACACTCTATCCAGTAGTCTCTCATTACAAAAATGACGACAACCGACTCATGACACACGCAATGAATATATTCATACCAGACAATATTACCGATGATTTTAACATGGTTAATCACCTGACAGTAGGACTTGACAATGTGACAAAACTGAAAGACCCCCACTTTCAAACTCACATCTCTGCCATACAAATAATGTGAGGCACCGTGGTGAAACCAGGCACTTGTCAAAATAGTGAAATCGAAGGAGCGGAAAATTTTCTGCTAGTGTTTGACAATTTTAATGAAAATTTTGTTTTTTGGCTCAACGCCTTTTATGCCCCTTCAATCGCAAATATTTTGACTTCTCCTCGAGATTAATGGGTATTGTTTTCATTGAAAGCAAGACAAAAATAATTAAGCTTTCAGATGGTACCAATAACCCCACATGCCCAAAATTCGAAGGTCTGATCCGACCGCGTCTTGACATTTATTTTTTATTTTTAATTTTAAGCCTTCCTGAGGATTTTATTGCCTTTGTGTTTCTTTTCTGGTTTTTTTTACTGTTGTTTGCTGTTCATGGTGTGAAATAGCCTTTAAATAAACTAGACCTGAAACTTGGTGCAAATTAAAATTCTTTAAAGGAGGAAAACACGGATTTACATTTGTGAAGCCCTGAAGGAAGTGGGATAATTAATTTAGTTCAAGACTCAAGGGTTATGGGATTAGGGTCTGTATCAGCTGCAAAGTCTGTCCACATTTTATTTTACCATCGTAAGGAACAATTACATCACCCTACATGCCATACATAATCTTATGGGTTGTTTTTTTTTTACAGGATTTAAAGCATCTCTAGTGGATGCAGCTGATGAGACAGAAGCTGTAGGTCCAAGTGCCTTGAGGAGAAAAGCAGCCATCATCGAAGATGATCCAAAGTACAACGGACAGAAGGCTTCTCGCAAAGATCTTTATTCTGATGGTACTGGTAATTAGATTTATTGTCTGTTATGGAAGGGTTTGGGTTTTTTTGCATGCACTTTAAAATTTGGACAGAAAAAAGGAGATTGCCTGTTTCTATAATTCTCTTTTGTCAGTATGATCTCACAAGGTGAACACTTTTTCATTTCATGCCGAGTGATTTACATTATCAAATTGAGAGAACAAAAAGTGCTTTACTGCTCATTTATTTGTAGGTGACTTCATATTTATTTTAAAAGATGTTATTTGTTCAATAAGTGGAACTTTCATTCAGTCTGACGATTTATTCTTAAAAAAGAAATGTTTATTAAGCAAACATTCCACTCCTCGAAATGACAAATGAGATATCAAGTTTGAGAATCTGGAAAGAGAGATTGCAAATTGTGGTCCATGTTTTGTCCCTTATGCCATTTTGCTAAATCAGAATCTGGCAAGTTTCAAGTTTGGTACTCAGCACTTTTTCATAATTTACACACTGTTCAGATGCCCTCAACTCAGGTCAGAAGTAAGACATTCTGGCCTTTGTCAGTTTTAACTCTTTGAACCCCATCGAACGTCTGGCGGTAATAACATTGTTCCCCACGGGACGCTGGGAGCGCTCAGTACTTGTGACAACTGTTTCTTTTAATTCAGTGCTAGTTTTTGCTTGTTTTTCGGAACTATTGCCGAACCAAGTTTTTTAATAATGACCAAGTCTTTGTTTCCGCTATTTAGAAGTTGGATGCACGCTTTTCGGGTTATAGTGAGACATAGTTTAGGTGACTGTATAAAAAACTATGGGAAACAGTGAAAAAAACTAGGGGCTTCAAGAGTTAAAAAGAACTGATTGTCCTGAACTTTTTTTTTTTACTCCATTTCAGATGAAGAAGAAGGTCTGGACACGGCAGCACAGGGCGATTCTGATTTTGAGTATGAGCTATTTCTTTGATGATTTCAGATTTGATAAATTGCTTTATCTCCTGTTCTCCGAATTTAACAAAAGTCTTTTGATACAAAGCTAGATATGTATGAAAATTGTAATCTCTCGGATTTGATCAAAAGAAATATTGGGAGACTAAAGCGTTGGGTTGTTGTTGTTTTTTTGGGGGAGGGGGAGTATAGACTTGCATTTTACATTTTGATTTCTCAAATTTAGTATATGTATCTGATATTACTAAATGACTGGCTGTGAATACGTAAATCAGGGTTGGGTTTTTTTTTGTGTTTTAGATTATGTTTCTGTTTTCAAGAGGATTTTTTTCCGACTGCCCACCATGTTCTCTGGATACTTTTTTTTTTGGAAGTAATTTTGTGCCTTTCACTGCCTTTTTAATGTTTCCTTACTTTTGTAACTTTTTTTTATTCTCCCGTCCTTTTTCTAACAAAAGAAAAAGACTTACATAGATAAATGGCTCTGTAAGGTCTATTCAGATGAATGTAAGAGCTTCCTGTGCCCCTAAAACTTGGGATTCCCTTCCAAAAGAAATGTGTTTTGTATCATCAGACAGGGAGTTTTGAAAATGTCTAAAGACACATTTGTTCAATGCTTTCCTCTGCCGGTAGATTTTGTATCTATATGTGTGTGTGTGAGTCTGGGAATTGTGTATGTGTGTTGTTGGTCTCACATGGTTCATTTTCTGTCTTTTGATTGGTCAGTTGAGTGATAGTTCTGCTTTGTACAGAGCTCAGAGCCTTTTAGAGATTAGGCAGTATATGAATTCCCATTATTATTATCTTTATGAATGATTCATGGAGAGATGTGAATGAGAGATATGCTTGTTCTTATCAGAGAGGACTCGAGAAACGGAGACACATCTGATGATGAAATGTCCGCTGGCAGCCGCGATTCAGAGGAGGAGGAGGAAAGTAATGGTGATGGCGGTGAAGCTGGAAATGTGAGCGATGACATGGATGAAAACGAGAAAGAAGGTGAGTGTTTTGAATGAACTCGATGAATTTAAGAATGTGAGAAGGCCCTATAATGTTACTTTGACTAATTATGCAGTCCTCCGTAACTGTTGTAATACCATGAGGTTGTTGGGATTATTTCTATATGTTCTTCAGTGTAGGCTTTCTTAATATTTTATGGCCATAAATTGTTTTCATGTTTGATCTTTGTAAAGCTGAGATAAAGTGCTGGGTTTTTTATTATAAAGTGTTTTTATCATAATGGCAGATGGCTGTCGGGTCAAGATGTTATTTTGCCTCTAGTCTTCTGTTACCCCAGTGGCGGTGATGATGAGTGGTTGACTACACTAACTAGTTTGGGCTCTATATGATGAGAAAAAAAGGGGGTAAACATGTTTCTTTGTAATTAATAATATGTTAAAATGTATAAGTGAAGGGATGTTCTGAACTTACGTTGTTTTGGGGAGTTTTTATGGCTCTCCACCCATTTGACTCTGGTGTTAAATTCAGAGGTCCCGCTTTTAACCCTCCAGGAGTCAACACAATCAGCCGTATGTTGCATTCCGTGTCATGGCCAATTTATTCGGCTGCAATTTGAGTCGTTATTTAGGTTTGTTTATCCCCCTTTTTTTTCCCGCCAAACATTTCAACTCTTGTCACAAATAAATACCTCTATATGATTGTGTTTCCAGAAGATGCCACGATTTTGCAAAAGTCTGACGATAGAGAGAAGGGAAAAGGTGCTCATCAGCAGTTGAGTAAGTCGTCTTTCTCTTTCTGTTGTTTGTTTGTTTTTTATTTCTCTGCGTAGCTTCCTTGTTTGGACTTTCGCTTTATTCTTTTTATTCAAGCTCATGTGGAGTCATTGGATGCCAGAGTGTGCTGTTTCTATTTCTTTTCAGATTTATTAGTATTGAGATCTTTGTAAAGATCTGCTTCATCCCTTTTGTTTTTTGGACTTACTTGACCTACTACACACATCCGGGGTCAACCAAGAATGTAGCCATGACGGAAAGATGATTTTAACATAAAAAGATTGAGGGGGCTGAAGTAAACCATTACCCAGACCTGTCTGTAGCGAAGAGTGGCTTTATTCATTGTAAACTACAGCATTACTTCATTTGGCTTTGCTTTACTCTGTTTGAAACTTTTTGAGTGTGTTTCTTCAACTAGCACTGCCAGATATCTTGTGCTCTTTTGTGGTATTGGTGGTATAGCGGTGAGGCTCTACGCTTGTCGAAGACATGAATTTGATTCTCATACCAGAACGTTATTTTATTACATATCTCTGTTTGCTGGGATGTTGTGACCCACTCAGCCTGGACTGGCCTAGACAAGAAGGGTTAAACCTGCCTCCTAAATGACTAACATTGTGTCAACGGGGGCTTTGGGTCATTTTACAATCATTCGTTTTTGTGCTCTGTAACAACAAAAAACCCCATCTCATTTAAAAGTTGAGAGAAAACACCAAAGTTAACTCACAGTAATTTAATACTATTAACACTGGCAGTGCTTTAAGAGCAAATGGTAAAGAGTTGGTCTATTTTCCAGTTACATGGTTAGAGCAAACCATTGATATATGTATGTTTATAAATAGATGACAAGTATGGAATAACAATGTGTCCAACATGCTCTCATTGTTTCAGGCATTTGGGATCAGTTGATCAAAAGCAGGATATCCCTACAGAAAGTCTTGTCCTTGTGTAACCAGTTGCCTCAGCCAGACACATGGGCTGACTTTGCCGCTAATGATGACTTTCATAAAGAAGCAAGCAATGGTAAGATAGCTGCTGTTTTTGTGGAATTTTTTTTCTTTGAGGGGGGGGGGGGGTGTTATATATACTTTGGAGAGTACACTAAAAAACATTCAGGTAAAGTTGTACATTGCATGCAAATGTGAAAGTTTATCGATGCCATTGATATTCTCACTGCTTCCTTTAAGTCACCCAGAGTTATAGGGTGACAGTACATTTACAAGAAATGTGTTTTATCGGTTCAGACTCTTTTTTTTCCGAAATGGTGCAGGTAGTACTGGCCTGAGTCTGCAACTTGGCTTTCTTTAATGTGGATACTGAGCGTAAATATTGAGTTCATTTGTTTTGGGCTGTTGGGTTTTTTTTTTCGGGGTAGGGTGGGTTCCTTTACAAGAGCAGAAATATTGAGTTGATGTGTGTTTTCTTTTGTTCACAATATATATATCTGACATGCAGAGAAGAGATGTTGAGCTCATGTGATGTTTGCTTCTCTTCACAGCTCACAGTTCTGTTCGGAAACTTGTTGCCGCTTTGATTGAGGTTCAGAAAGGGCTTTCAAGTCAGGACCAGTCTAAAGAGTAAGTTCCAACTTTTTAACAAAATTTTGTTGTTTATTTGTGGTCTTTTTGTGTATGTAGAGTGTATTTTCTGTTTATGGTCTGCTTTTGTACTTGGGATGTTTTTCAGGTTTTTAAAAAAACTTATCTTGTTTATTTGGTTTTTGTAAATAGTTTTGTAGCTAGACTAGACGTGCTTGTTGCCCTTCCCGATGGCTGCCCACGGATGGGAATAACACTATTCATGACTGTTGTACACAGGTTTAACTGTTTTTGCCCTGAGTGAAAAATCTAAGTGGTTAGAGGGCAGTTTCTTTTGTTTCTGTTTTTCTTTCTTTCTTTTTTCCCTTGCTCCAAATAACTTGTATCCTTTATTAATAACTATGTAAAAAACAAAAGAAATATCTGTGGTCAGTCCCTGTCTCTAGTTTCTGTCTTAGACATTATGTCTTGTTTTGGAGTGTAGTCTTGGTGTGTGTTCTGCACCTGCTATTGCATTTGCCATGCATGAAGCTTCTTTTTTTATAAAACTCTTGTTACTTAAACTATAAAAAAAACCACATTGTGTTAATCACAGAAAAGGTGCTGGTGGTAGTGGAGACTCGGATGAGGAGATCACAAGCGAATCTGAGGGAGAGGAGGACGAGGACAAAGACACCGTGGGAGGGAAAAGTATCGGCCCAGAAGCTCTCGACAAGGAAACTCCGCTTGACGATGACATGAGTGAGGAAAGCGGTGACGGTGGGGATGAGTCTGAGGAAGAAGCTTCTGGCAATGACGTGGTCGTCCCACAGGAAGGAAGCCAGAAGAAGCAGCGGCAGAAACGGAAATTGGACGCAGAGGAGGTGGAGGAAGTTTTGTCCAAGCACCATAAAGGCTTCCAGACCTACAGGTATAGGGAGATAGTACATTGTTGAGACTGAGCTAGTGGTGGGAGATAGTAGGCCTACTTTGTTTGTGACTGAACTGGTGATGTGATGGGAGATTGTACATTTCTGTAACTGAGCTAGTGATGGGAGGTAATACATTGTTGAAATTGAGCTAGTGATGGAAGATCATATGTTGTTGTAACTGAGCTAGTGATGGGAGATAATACATTGTTGAAATTGAGCTAGTGATGGAAGATCATATGTTGTTGTAACTGAGCTAGTGATGGAAGATAATGCGTTGTTCTAACTGAGCTAGTGATGGGAGATAATACATTGTTGAAATTGAGCTAGTGATGGAAGATCATATGTTGTTGTAACTGAGCTAGTGATGGGAGATAATACATTGTTGAAATTGAGCTAGTGATGGAAGATCGTAGATCGTATATTGTTGTAACTGAGCTAGTGATGGAAGATAATGCGTTGTTGTAACTGAGCTAGTGGTGGGAGATAATACATTGTTGAAATTGAGCTAGTGATGGAAGATAATGCGTTGTTGTAACTGAGCTAGTGATGGGAGATAATACATTGTTGAAATTGAGCTAGTGACGGAAGATCATACATTGTTGTAACTGAGCTAGTGATGGAAGATAATACGTTGTTGTAACTGAGCTAGTGATGAGAGATAGTGCTTGGTAGTGACTGAGCTAGTGATGTCACTGTGGGTATAGTAATGTCTCAGCTCAGTTGAGCCAATGATGTTGATGTGAGCGAATGGCCAGTGGAAGATAATACATTGTTGTGACTGATCCAGTGATGTCACTGTGGGTTGTAGTACTGTCTTAGCATCATAAAGGTTACTGAGTTGGGGATGTTAGCATATTGTTGGTGTAATCGAGCCTGTGTTGTTGGATAGTAAGTTGTTGTAACTGAGCCAATGGTGCGTCTGTGAGTGGTGGTACTGCCCAAGCATCATAGAGGCTTCCACAGCTACGAGTGCTGTGAGATAGTACATTGTTGTAACTGAGGCTAGGTGAGTGCTATTGGTTCGTTATGTTGCTTGAGATGCCTGTAGTCTTGATTTTTGTGTTCCTGTTGAAGTCACCACTGATTAAATTGAACGTGAACCGGGTCTGGTTTACAGCCGTAAGAAGTTTTATGCTATCTCTGATCTACCAATCAGAGGAGTTGCTAGTGCTGTCGGAGTGGCAGCAGAACATATGTATACACCCCAGTCCACTTTGGGTGATGTTATTATGGCTGTGATAAGAAATACATTGTCTGTGAAGGGAATTTCTGTTTAGCCCAAATTTGATCTGTATTCTGTAACATAGGGAAAAGTAATTGAAAAGTTTTATAACTGGAATTTTTGCCTTCCAATAAATTTCAGGTTGTTTTTTTTTTTCTTTCAATCTCACAGATGGCCTTCAATGAAATTCCTTGGGAGTTTAAATGATAGTGTTTCTTTCCTTCAAATTGCCGCCTATTTTATTCCAATTTTGCAGAAATGACACTTTGTCCAAGTGGGATGAGAAGACCCGTTTGACCCACGGGAAGGTCAGGGCCAAGAATTTTGCGGCATTTGAGATGTCTGTTCTCAAACAGATTGAACAGGTAACTGTTACTATTACTTTTGTCTGCCTTTCTTTTTTTTTCTCACCCATTTCTACTCTCAAGATTACCAGCATCTGTGGTGTAAAGGTAACTCTTTTCATCATTGCACACTGAAGAAAAAATTGATAGATATCCTAGAGGAGAAGTAATTTTATCAAGATCTCCATCTGCTGAGATCTTGTATCCAGCTTGGCCTGGGTTGGCCTTGATTTGCAGGGTCAAAACAGTCTACCTTCAGAATGGTCTAGATTGTATTGTATGGAGCATAAAACAATGACTATCATTCAATCAACCCTTCAAGGACTTTTTTACATTTTAAAAAAATCGCAGAATCATTAAAGCCTTTTAGCTTTAGCTATAGGTTATCATGGGTCTCAATATTCCGCTATTTAGCGGATTTCCGCTACCGCCATTTCCTCAGCTAAACTCCGCTGCTGGTAGGGCACCTCCCACAGGGTGACTGTCAGGCCCCAGGAATTTTTTTTAAATCGCTGAGAGCGGGGAATTTGAGGAAATCTGTAAATTGCCATGCGAAAGACCCAGGAAAATACATAAAAGTTCTCGAATATTTGAAAACCAAATTCGATGAGGTCTTTAAGTCCATTTTTGCTGGTCGCGGTTTTGATGTTCATTCGGCTTTTTCGGCTCCGAGAGTACGTTTCACGCGAACAGGCAGCTATGGCGGCAAGCGAAAGTGTATGTTTGACACCGAGGCTGAATCGGGAAAATCAAGATCTGCTTTTGTTACCGCCCAGAAATTTGTCGGTAATAGTCATAAAACGCAACATTTGTAACATGCAGGTTGTGCATTACAAATGTGGTGTCGCCATGAAAATAAATAAATATTCGTCTCTGTGCTCTCACTTGTGGGGGGGGGGGGGGGGAGAAAAGAAAGTATACAAAAGTCTTGTCAGGCTCACCATGGTAGCCGGTCAGTGAACCTGCGCGCGTTCTGGGCGCTGCGAAGTACAGGCCTCCGGAATGGGGAAGATTTTTTTATTTTTAAAAAAAATACACACAGGGGTTGAAGGCAGCACCGGAGGACAAAAAACTGAACTTGGACTTGTAAGAAAAAATTTTATATTTAGAATTTTGATTACTACTAGATCTACAGCTCTCTGCAAAGTAAAGTGCGCGTTGGTGCAGGCCTTGTGGGGAATCGGGATCCATCATACTTTGTAAGCGTGTTATTGAACTTAAGTGTTCGCGTTACATTGGATGGGTGACAATAAATTATATCTCTATATTTAAATTTAAGCTTTCCGTTTAAGATTCGCAGATTTTCAAATTCGCTACATCTTGCCCTCCCACAGTTCTTACACCTCCCACACAGAATAGGTTTACTTGAGCTATTTAAGTTATGACTCTTCTTTGAATTTGAGCAATAATTTTGTATTTCACGTTTATTATGTGAATCATGACACCCAGACTGGTTCACGACAGTCGATATTTTGGTTCTATGCCTTTTCTCGGGTTCAAAACAAGATTTATTTTTTTATATTATATAGTTTATATACAGGCTAATATGATGAGAGGAAAATATAAATAAGTAAGAACAGACTGAAATACTTGTGTCAACACATGTTGTTGAGTGGATATAATGTACCTACGTGTTTTTGTGTTTCCGCTCTGTCATTGCTATGTAACCCACCCCCTGGAAAACTGAGAAGCCGGGTTGGCAGTCACCCTGCTCCCAGTAATGCGCCACCACTTTCTGTACATAATGATAAATAATATTTGGTAGACCTAAGTGACTCTTTTGCTTCAAATTATCTTCTAAACGCTCAAATTGGTATGAAATAACTTTGCTTTAATAAATTGATGTTTTTTGTTTCAGAATTCTAGGGTTAAACAGTATAATTCAGTGCTTCCAGTCTTTCGCAATTTTGCGGATTTCCGCAAATGGAAAAATTTCCGTGAAAATTCGTACAAAAAATTATTTTCAGAAATGTGAAATAAATATGTCCGTAATTACTAATAATCAACAATAGCCTACCCATACCTGAAGTGCTCTTTTATTTTAAAGTGTAGAGTGTCTTTTTACTTTCACTTTCAAAAGCACAAGAAAAGCACCAGCACTGTAAAAAAGAGGAAGAAATGACGATTGTGGTTCAATAGATCTTGGGCCTGCCAAGAAAAGAAAACTCTGAAGAGTTTGATTTTTTTTACCAGATCTAAGTATTGTTGTGCATTTAAATTGAATATAAGCTGTCAAGTGAGAAAGCATGGCTTTGGATTTATATGGATTAACACAAGCAGAAAATTATGTATGCAAGGTATGTTTTTTTCTCACTTATTTTCTTGTTAAATTTAGGCTTGAATAGACAGAAATGACATACTTAGGATGCCCTGAAACCAAAAAATCTCAAACGTAAGGGGGACGCCTTCGACCCCCTGTCAGGGCTCTGCCCTGGACCCAAAAATCCTCGAAAAATGACATCCGCTGCTGGAAGCTCTGAATAATGATGGGTGTCTGGCGAAAATAGTCTTCTGTCGCGATCATACATAAAAGTTCCTCCTTAAAAGTGCCTCCTTTTTAAAAATTCTGAGTTGAGACCCATGGTTATGATTGCTGTCTGTAGAATTAATCAAAATGTCAGGATTGTCATTTAAATTTCTTAAAGATAATGGTTTGCTACTACTTTTACTGATCCCATTGGGAAATTTGGTTTGAAATGGTGCACTCATACTTACAGCAATGTTTTTGGGGTTGTTTTTATTTGATTGTTTTAAGAAATATGTTGTGGTAGTAATGTTCTGGCTTTTATTTTTCTCACAGGTTTTAGTGAACAGAGAGAGACTAATCCGGCGAATTCATCAGCAAAGAACAGCATTCAGGATATTGGGATGTCCAGACACAGCCCAGATAGACAAAGCAGAAGATGATGTGACCATTGAGGATGATGACGAAGTGGAAGTAGAGGTAGCATGTTTTCCTCTTTGTTGTTGTTCCTGGAGCTTTTTTGTGAAAATGTCTAGAATAGAAAAAGGTTTTGTAGTATAACCCTGTGAGCATTGCCGCCACACACCCTCCCCTAACTTATAGAACTGTGTAACTCTCGATATCAAACTTTTTTTAATTGTATGCATTTTGTCCAACTTAGGGCCAACTATATTAAACAGTTTTGATAAAAGTACAAGATGTTATTTACACAGTGTGATCTGTAAATTTTGAGTCCCTGCACATGCTTTTTCAGATAATCTGACACGTTCAGGATTTTTTTTCTATACCAATTGGTTCCTCTGATACCTGAGTTTATTTTGATTGAGTGCTAGATATTCATCCCCATACACTGAGTCGTGCATCAGGTGCACAAAATGCTAATGGTCCTCTCATTGGACTCGACTCATGCTCAGGTCCATCGGGTTAAGTCATGCTGTGGTGTTGTCAGTTGTGTGCCAATTTGTTATACAGTCTAGTGTTTCTTGAGGTTTGATTTAAAGAGGACATGTCCGTTAGAAACTATATGGGTACCTAGTACCTGATTAGGGTTTTTAGAGTTATTTTGCTTTAACGATGTGTGATAACAGAATGACTTTTATTACACATTCTTTTTAAGTTTTATAGCATAGTGAGAGAACTGCTTATACTGTCTTGCATGGATCATTTACAAATCATCAACATCATTCCACAGTTGCCCAAACTCATTTCTTGGGGGTTCTAGATAAGGCAACTATCCTAATAAAGACATTAACTCTTTATCAGCGGCTCGCCGTCGGAACTGGTGAGCGGCTCGGGCACATTCCTTTACGACGACTTCGACATCAAATTACTCTTCGGCAATTGCCGAAAACGTGTCTCTTTTACCAGAAGTTCATTCATTAGATGTAGTATTATCGTAATAGGTTCGCTTGTTTCGATTTAATACCTCTTTAGTGACGTTTTTGTCATTTTTAGATTTAGTACCAAAAAAGGGCCCCGGCATAGTCGGTTTACCCCCCTCGGAGATAAAGAGTTAAGCAGGGTGACTGCCATGCCCTGGGAATTTGAGGAAGTCTGTAAATTGCCTCGGGAAAGATCCTACAAAATACATAAAGTTCTCAAATATTTGAAAACTAAATCTGATTTTAGAGGCAACTTGCTATAAAGTTGGTTGGGGTTTTTTTTTAGTTGGTTGTTGTTGTTGTTGTTTTTTGGGGGGGTTGTTTGTTTTGTTTTTTGTTGTTTTTTTGGGGGGTGGGTCCATTCTTGGTTTTTTATTTTTCTTTAATTTTCTTAAAACTTCAATAAAAGATCTTGGCAGTTATGGAATGATGCTGACAAAACATTTGTGTGGCTTTTGGTTTCTCTGTTCCTCCATCACTCATATTTCTGCTCATTTTGTATATTTCAGATAAAACAGAGGAGCAAGCAAGATGTAACTTTAAACCCAGAGATTATCGATGACAACGACTTCTACCACGTCTGCTTGAGAGACCTTATCGAAATGAAGCAGAATGAGGAAATGGACCCAGTTACAGCCAACAAGTAAAAAAAAATCCTCCTACTTTTCATTGATCCCAGTAGGAAGTTTGGTCTATAATGGCGCACATTCATACATGAATACTTACAGTGATTTATCAACTCCACATATTATGCCATGTAACTCCAGTACTGAAACTCAACACGTCATTAATGGTCACCACTGTGCAACACCTTGTTTATAAGCTAGGGTTATCTTGTTTTGATGAAGGGAACATCCCAGTGAGTACAGAGATTGGCTTTTGTGCCAAAGTATTTGAGTCAATTCCCAATTTGTATTTAGGTCCTATATAGCAGAATTATGATTTCTGAAGTAATCATGAGACCATTGTTTGTCATTCAAAATATTTTGTAATCTTTTTAATTCAGATAGATGGAGGAAGAGTAAGAGCAATATTTTTATACCATCTCAGTTCTAGGGGCAACTGGAAAAAAGATGCTGGAACATTTCAGAGGATTATCAAATATAGAAATAAGTTGAGAGCCGTGATTTCCAATGTCTGTTCCCGACCTGGCACTTGAACCAGTTAGATAAAACATCCTCTTTAATTTGAAATTAATAAAACATGAACTATTTTAAGCCGTATGTTTTGTTTTTCAGACAATGGTTGGAAATTCAAAGATTACGAAATAAAGAAAAAAGGAAAGTGGATACGCGTGCCAGTAAAGGCAGAAAAATCAGGTGAGGGTTCGTCAGAACGTGGTCAGTTTCCTTGCATGGAAATGTTTTCATATCCTCACCCCATGTTCTTAGATGGTTGAAAGGCACTTCTGATAGCTCATACTTCTTTTCTTACCCTCTGCCATTTTTGTTAAAATGCATTGATCTGCTCTAAATGAGTTACTTCATGGATGAGCTTCTTTTTACTCAATAAAAAAAACAAAAGAACTTGTGAACAAACCCGATGTCCATAGTGGGGTTTGTTGTCCTCAGCACAAATAGAGTCAGCAGTTTAAGACTTCAATTACTGACATCTGTGGTGTATCGGTTAATCTCTTTGCTGTATTTGGAAGAATGTCTGGCATCACTGTATGTTCAATGAAGAAGAACAAAATACAGTCAAACTTGCTGTAGCAACCACCTGTCAGAGACTCTACTCTCAGACAATCACCTTTACATACCACTACTTCCCACTTCTCCCTTTGTGCTTTTTAACAATTATAATGGCATTGTCCAAGAGGACTGTCTGTCAGAGATTACCACTTTTCTCCCTGACAGTAGATGGTTGTCTTGGACAGGTTCAGCTGTACTTCAAAGCAATTAAAGGACAGGAGAAAAGGTATTCTCTCAAATGTTAAATGCACTAGGAATTACAGAAACCTGCTGAAGCCTATAAAGCACCTCAACATTAAACAAGTATTTTACTGATCCTCCTTTGGTAAAACATTAACAGTGTGCTGTCTCCACCTTCTTCTGCACAAAATATGCATAAAAGACATCATATCAATTCATCGCATCCTCTCTCTATCTCTCTCGCTGTGAAATGAAAGTGAACACGGTGTCTTAAGGCAAAATATTACATTTCTGGTACTGTTGTAGGTTAAAAGGAATTTCCTATACTCTTCTTCTAACTTGTTCTTAGACGTATTAGTTGCTAGCTACACTCTGAAAATTGTATGTGCTTGGGGAAAAAAGGTGCATAGAGTGTGTCAGTGGAGTTGAGACACTTGTCGTGTTGTTGTTGTAGTTCTCTCATTGTTGAGCAGGAGTTGATTTTTATGTTATGTTTTTTTTTGCAGATACAACATCAGGGAAAAACTAAAAAATTTCATGACTCCCTATGATAAGTCCTCCTGGTCAGATGAACAAAAGTGAGTGCCTTTTTTCTGCAATTTTTGTTGAAGATATGCTTGTGATGTGTTTCTTAAACCCTTCAAACCCCGAGCCTTCAGGATCTGTGCAGCTGAGCTCCTTTGCATAAACAGCTAGATTTACACCACTTTGTAGTGTCCTAAATTTACACTGCCAAACACTAAGGTCTACGTGATTTACACCTTCCTACACTGAACTCTGTGCTCAGTGTATAGAACGTAAAAAGTAGCCTGGTTTCACGTGGTTCAAAAAAGTCCCCACCAGTTTAATGCTGTTGAACAAGAAGTGTTATTCTGTTCAGACAGGGCTTACAATTTGCTCCGTTGTATTGAAAGTTGTTTATGGTTTTAACTGTCTGTTTAACATGTTTGAAAATGATTTTGTCCTAAGATAATGGAATACAAAATATACCAGGGACGTCCAGAAAGTAACGTTTTAATATAATTATAAAGAAATAATTTTCCCAATCCAAAACGATTTATTTTTGAATACCTCATATATATGACTACTTCTCCACGTAGTCACCCGAACTGTTGAGGCATTTGTCTTTTAAGTGTGTTGCAGTACACGTCAGAGTTATTTGTCATCCCATTTCCCAAAAATTCTACTAAAAGAACTCCTTGCCTGTCCCAAAACTCTGTACACATGACTTTTTTCCCTGACGCGGCCTGCTTGAACTTTTTTGGCTGGGGTGAATCCATATGCTTCCACTGCACCGACTGCTTCTTTGACTCGGGAATGGAGTGGTGCCACCAGGTTTCATCCCCGTCACAAAATGAGTAAAAAAGTCATCTCCTTCGTCATTGTAACATGTCCGGAATGTCAATGCGCTGGCAAAAAAAATCGGGAATATTCTAACCCAGTTCAGAGAGATGAGTAAACTGTACTTACTTTCTGGACGTCCCTCGTATGTACCAGCAGGGAAGATGGTACATCCTCAACCGAGGTAAATTATTTTTAAAAGGTATGAGATCGATGCTTTCCTATAATTTTTCATCTTCAATGAAAAATAAAATATGATTCAATGCTAGAACATTTTATAGTAGACTCGACATTAGATTTTTCCTAAGATTTTGTTTGTTTAGTGGCTCAAGATAATGTATAGTTTGTTGATCCCCCTTCGAAGGTAATTGTCACTGTGCACCATACTTAACTCTTTCCGAACGTAGTTGTTGTGGGGTCAAGACGTAATTAACTTGTCACTCGGTTTGGCTACACAGATGATGTACAAAATAGCTTCATAAGCATAACCATCACTCAAAACGTAACATACGATATATCAAATTGAAGGAAATTGTATAAGGAATACATTCCAACATGAAACAAGATTAATTTTGAACAAAAATATGCATTACAAGGGTTAGAAATGGCGATGGTGGTATGAAAAATACATTTTTACGGAAAAAATTACACACACTGAACATGTCAAAGGGAATCAGCATTGCTATCTCATCATATACAGGCCGAGAACAGACTCCATAAATTTCTGAACGTGCCGCTTTTTATTTGAATGCAATATCGAATTTTTGTTTGAGTTATGGTATTTATACTGAGTCCGGTTAGATCGTTTTGTTGATGCAAGACCGCAAGAACGAATTCACTCGTTTTTCGCCAGACCAACACTTTGGCAAAGTGAAACTAGATGTTTTCGTTTCGTAAACCCTTTCCAAGTTTTCAATAACAAGAAAAAGTACTTGTAAATAATGGATCATGTTAAAACGAAACAAAACTGAGGCACCCCATCACAGGCGGTATATCGCTGATTACATCCGCAAGGGGTGTGGACTCGCGCCGATATATCGATGATACGTCCGGAAAGAGTTGAGTTATTGCAATGTTTCATGTCGTTTCAGAGATGTGCACCAAACTTAAGTCTCCCTCCGGGGCAGTGCCACTGACTGTAGTGTCTTTAGGCCATTCCCAAAGGGGGGACATTTCTCGTTCAAACACAGTAGAATTGTAAATGGGCTGATTCATGTCACGCTCATAACTGTGCCGGATCTACAACAGGGAACTGCTGCTTTTTCTTTCCTAATCCTTACTGTTGTCATTTTTCCTCTACTTTTTTTGTATGTTTGTCACACTCTTGTGACCTGCTATTTCCAGGGTACCTTGACAGTCGAAGCAGACCTTGTGCTGTTGAAGCTAGAGAGGTGAGCAGAGTAAGTCTGATTCCCTGTAAAGACTTCCCTGTTGACACTCACCCCTTGGCGCTCATATGACCTTATGCAGTTACACGCGCCGTAAAACCCTGTACTATAAAAAATATTTTAAAAACTTAAGTCGTTGTAATGTTTTTTGTTGTTTCAGAGATGACCTGTTCAAGGCTCTGTTTGGTGGAAGGAACGTGAGTGAGGGCGGGGAGCAAGAAAAGGTCAGCGAGGGGGAGAACAGAAACAAAGAAGGAGCACCCACAATCAACATTGGTCTGTGATGTGTGTACATGTTGGAGAATCTGTGTTGGTCTGTGTTACGCGTTCTATGTAGAAGATTCAGTGTTGATTAATGTTGTACGGTACTAGTATATACGCAATGTTGGAGGACTCAGTATTGGTTTGCCTGATTTATAGAATGTAAGATGTTGAATGTTGGCACATCTAATGTCTAAATAAAATATAAAACTGTAGTTCAGGGTGAATTTGGTCCATTGTTTTCTTATAACTCAAATAATTTCCTCCATGATTGTTTTTTGGCCTCTTGACAGGATTTTTCTCCCCCAATTTATATATGTCCTTTGTTATAATTATTACCCTGTAAGAGGTCTATGATGGTCTCCTTAACATCTTGGCCCTTCATGACATATTTCTTTCCAGTGTAAAACACATTTTTGAGACAGAACTTTGTTTTAGAATCAAAAGGCTGAATCTACCATATAGGATTATAACTTTCATTTACCCTGTCAAAAATGACATTTGGATCAATATTGTCTTTAACCCCTTCACTGCTGTCCACTTTGACTTCCCATATGCTGGAAAAATTTCCAGGTACCGCATGAAACCATAGGTGACTTCCCTTATTGGTCTTTGGTGCTCTTGAATGAAGTGAAAAGTATAACAAAGTATATATTTTCTTGTAGAGAAATGAATGGTCTTTCCAAGTAGACTATGTACAGGGGGATTATTGGAAGGAAAAAGATTTTGAGAGGAGTAGAAGATTGCATAAGATAGGGGAAAAAATGTTTTCTTACCTTGCTCTAGTAGGGAAGACTGGAACTGGTATTCAACTTGTAGGGTAATCCATACAGAAATAATAACACACTACACTTATATGCACACACAATTCCACAGAAAAAATAAAGCACAGAGATATGTACACAACTATTTACAATCACTAGCGAAACTGGACTTCACTCCTAGTTCCGCCAGTAAAACCTCTCTGTGTGGTACTTCTTGAAGCACCCACTCAGACAGAGGCCTGGCTTACTCGGGCAGTCTAGGCAGTAATACCTAGTGTCTTTTCGCAAACTCTTCTTTGTGCAGACACGGCACCTCTTTTGGGGATGAACTTTTTTTTCAGTTGGGGGAAGAACTTCAATGAAGTGCCTGTCATACAGTCGGACCGCATGATCATCGGTGACACTAGGGGCACCATCATCCCCAAAGATCCAGTCAGAAACAACATCTTTCTGGAAATCAAGGAAAGTTGACTTATTCCCTGCTTTTTCATACAGGATGTGGGCATTGAGCATTGCCACTTGAACCATGCGCACGAACAACTTCTTGTACCACTTGAGTATTTTTCGCGTGGCCTCATATGGCTGGAGAAGTTGATCATGGCGGTCTACGGAGCCCATGTTTACGTTGTATGACAACACAGAGGGTGGCTTCTCTGTGGTCCCTTGAGGCTCGTGGCATGTGGTCAACATGTATACCTCCCTCTTGTCGTGGTACTTTTGAGCAAGAAGGTGGCCATTGGCACAGCTTTCAGTAGCTCCCTTCTCAACATGAAGCGCTCTGAGCAGAGGAGCGGTCCTGTTTTTTCTCATTGTGCCACAAGCTGATGTTTGTTGGCTGTGGAGAAAGGAAAATAGGTCCACAGAAGTGTACCAGTTGTCCACAAAGAGTTTATACCCCTTGTTCAGCAGAGGGAGCATGAGGTAGACAACCTCTTTGGCAGGTCTGCCAAAGGTGGCACACTCGTCTGGCAGCATTTCATCAATGGCCTCAGTACTCTCGTCCTTTCCTGCATAGATGCGAAAACGGTATGTGTAACCACTGCCGTCACACAAAAGAAATGACTTAATTCCAAACCGAGCCCTTTTCAGCGGTATATATTGTTTGAACAAAAGCCGACCTTTCCACAGCATAAGGGACTCATCAATGGCAACGTTCTGGTCTGGAACGTAAACATGTTGGAATCTTTCGAAGAGATGGTTCAGAACAGGTCTGATCTTGTACAACCTGTCCCTATTCCTGTCTTGAACATTGGGCATATTAGTGTTGTCACTGAAATGGAGAAATTTCAGCAACAGCAGGAACCTATCTCTAGACAAGGCAGCATTGAAGACAGGGGTTGTAAAGAGAGGGTCAGTACACCAGTATGAATTTATTTCAGGCTTTTTGATCATACCCATCAATAAAAACACACCGATGAAACATTTCATCTCTGTCACGTCAGTATTGTGCCACTGATTAGCCCTAGAGTGCTGTTTCAAGGGTGTCGCAGCCAAGTACTGCTCGGCATAACGTTTGGTCTCAATGACCAAAGAGCGGAGTAGATCATCGTCCACAAACAAGGAGAAGAACTGGGAGGGGGTAAAGTTACTCACATCAACTTTTATGCCAGGGGCAGCAGTAAAGTCTGCAATCACTGGGCGAAAGTTCCCAACATCTCTGGTCCACTCTCGGGTGTTTGTGGTGGTTCTCCTTGTGCCCCCTGCACCTCTGCCTCTTCCTCTGCCGCTACCTCTTCCTCTGCCTCGACCTCTGCCTCTACTTGCAGATGTAGAAGGACCGGGGACATCCTCAAACCTTGTTTCTGGGTGAAAATAAATCATCTTACAATTATTTACTGTATTTCATTGTTATTACTATCATTGTTTGTTTATTTCCTAAGTGAGCATGAATCATTCAGACCAGGCTAGAATCTAGATCTAGATCTTGATCTCTCAGAAATGAGAAAGACCCTTTTTTTTACAAATATTCCTCGCAATCGGTCATCTGTAAGAAGAATAAATGGCTTTTTTTTCCACTGAACATCTACCACTTTCCTTCTTGGTTAGTAGTAACCAGGCAGATCTAAGATCTAGATTTCTAGAAAAAAACTGATAGGCCATAGCTAGTGTTATCAGTGCTAACAAGATGCATAATTTATAAAGATAAGAACAAATTGTTCAATAAACTCAGCTCTGGATTTTAGACTTGAGGCCAGGGTAGCGGTACGGTCACTTACAAAAAATGACATCATAATCTAAACAAACAACAATAATATAAGAAGGCAAAATCATCTGCAGTGTTCCCCCCCCCCCCCCCCCCCCCAAACAAAAAAAAATAAGGGAAAGAGGTGTGAGAGCAAAACAGAACAGTCAGGAAAAATAAACATCTAGATCTAGATCTAGTCTAGAATCATATTATTGAATGTTTACCTTCGCGCTCATCGGCTTGTTCTTCCTCTTGTTCTTGATCATGATCAGAACTGGAATCAACATCATCAGAATCATGTCCGTTCCAGTTAGGACTGGCATCATCATCCAAATCTTCATCTCCGCTATCTAGATCGCGGTAGACCTCTTGGACAGCTTGTAGTGTAGTTAGCATTCTCCGCGGACGGTTAGCCATCTTCGTTAGCTGAGCTGAGCGTTCGATACGGTGCGTACTAGAGCAGACGAAAACTCGGAAAGGACGCTTCTATTTCCCGCTAGAACTAGGCCAGTAGCAGAAATTTTCCCACGAACAGTGGATTTCTAACTCGTAGAATAAATGAGCTTTCAAGGGAACCTACTCTAAATATTATAAAAGCAAATTAGACTTTAGCAGGGAACGAAACAAAACAGGGATAATGCAGGACGTAGTAGTCACGTCGCTGTAGCACACAGAGGCGCGTTCAGGGAGACGTAGGTACTACGTCGTCGTAGCAGTGAAGGGGTTAAAGACCAAACTTACTGCTTGTCTACCAGTTTTGGGACCAGCGGTCTGGTACGTCTGTCATTGGGCTCAAACGTAGGCCTCCCAATTACACAGGCCTGCCAAACGAAAAAGTAGGTCAACAGCCCGGGCTGTTTGTTGTACGAGGCTTCAAATTTGATGGCACGATGGATTTGGGCACATTTGGGAACATGGAAGGTGGATCTACTGGAACCGGAAAACACACGCCCATATTAGTAGTGATCTCATCTATGGAAAGAATATTTGGCAGAGCTCGCAACCATTCCTTTTTGTGGTCATGACCCTCTTGGGAACTGTAGACCGGAATATTCTCTGCCCCAAGCACTTTCTTGGTACTGTCATAGCCTGTTCGACATCCGCCCTCTGAACATTTTTTCCCCATAGTGCTTGTTTTCTTGTCCCCGCTCAAGGACTTCTGTTGACTATGTGTATGAGGTAGAGAAAAACGCCACCTCAAGAAGAAAAAAAAAGAAACCTATATATGTAGCCTACCATCATGCAGAAACAGATCAATAGAAGTAGGTCGTGAGTCAGAACAGTAGTAAATCACAATTCACAACAGACAGTGAGCGGGGATGCTGAAAAGATTGGGAGTGATAGATTAAGAGACAGTTCAGTCCTAGACTAGATAGGCCTGCTGCATTTGTAGTCTTGTGGTGATTTGAGTGTAGCCTGCATAATGTTGCTGCGAACACAAAATCATATACATTATGTATGATGTGTGTGTGTGTAAATTAAAAATTATTGATCAGGCATTCAGAGACAATCAATCAAATGCCCCCCCCCCCCCCCCCCCAAAAAAAAAAAAGGAAACAAGAAAATTCCTCTACTTCTTCCTATTTTATAAAAGCACACAAGATCTAGTTCAAGATTCTAAGAAATACAAACATTTTGTAGAGAGAGTCAGAGGGCAGATTAGACCTACACATCATGAAACGCCCTCATACAAGCGTCCCAAGCCCACAAGGTGACTTGTGTGCTGTGAATAGCCTACAATTTCCCTTCTTCGACATAAAGAAGTTTATAAACAAAGTACTAGTGCACTGTGTAATTTCCACCACTTGGAAGGCTTGCTGAATATCGCCAAATGGAAAAGGCAAAAGCATGACAATTGACAATGAATAGATTATATCTCCACCTGTTGAGTTCATGATGCTAGATTGTCTAGAATCTAACTCTCTGTCTAGTTCATCTGGGCTAGGCAGATCTAAGTATATATGGCAATTCTTCCTGTAGCTTATATAACTATTTTGGGAAAGAACAGAACTTCCATTATCATTTACCACAGCAGGAAGATGCGTTGACTCGAAAATCCGTTGAAAAAAATGCTCCTCAATGTGGGAACTTAACAAGACACTTTCGAAATCCGCCCCGCACACGCCCAGATGCACAGCCGTGTAGCTGTTAATTAGTACATGCACACGAGTGTCGGCCCAGGCAAGTGACCTACTTTTCTGGGCTAATCGGCCTGGGTTTCTGGGGACCTAGGCTCAAACCCATAGCTATCTGTTGACCTATATATGTCATTCTTTTTTAACTGTGTAGTTTAGCCAGCTCGCGGAAATACCATAGCCAGTGCTGAGCGGGCCACGCTGAGAGTAGGCCTGATACTAGTACTAGATCTAGTAAGCGGTCGAGCATCGTGATAAAGTAGGTTATCGATCAATTCAGGCGGCTTCAGAGCTATGCGACAAAACCTAGAGCTGGTTGTCTAGATTCCAGATATAATGTTTTACATAATAGTCGGTCGTGGCAAGCTGGAAAATAGTAAACGGGGGGCTTGGAATTAAAGGGTGGTGGGGTGCGTAAAAAAACTGAAAATTAATAAAGGGGGGGGGGGGCAAAAAGCGTTCTCATTTCACCATAGTATTGTAGAACGGTGTGTAGTACGTTGGCTCTGTTAGAAAGTAATCTTAAATGTCAGGGCACTCATCTGTGCTCATGGTTTGTATTAAGACAGTCCCCAAAAACACTAATTGTCTTTGGACACTTCTCGTCACCGTGTCTGTGACCCTCCTGTCTACCATCAAGACACCCATCGGGATTCGGGCAGTTGTTGGCCCAATATCCGGTGCTCAGACATCACCTGCATTGCAGTGTGCTCTCCCTCATTTCTCTGTAATAGAGATGAGATATATATATATATTTACACATAAGTGAGGCAACCAGGGATTTTCAGTCTCAAGTTAACCTTTTAACATTTTGAGATAAATTGACATTCTGAGACTACAGCCATTTCTGAACAACGTGGTCTTTACAGAATTAAAAAAGGACTATTAGAAGCTAAGATATGGGCATTTAACAACAACCACCTGAGCAGATCAACTTTTGAGAAAATCGCGTTTTAAGTTGGAGCTACCAATTAATTTCAAGAGATTTTGCTCAGAAAACAACCCAGAAACATAATACCACTGCCCTACATACTTTAATTGGTTACTATTGGGTATTTTTAAGTTTGAATGAAGTGAGAAAGTGTTTCCAATAATCATGTCATTCAGGATGGCCCATTCTATCAGTTTTTCTCCTCTTTCATTTCTGGTTCCCAGTCCATATGGACCCACTATGTCTTCATGTCTTGTTGCTCCCACTTTTGCATTAAAATCTCCCATGACTATATGACAATATCTTGTGATTTACAATGTGTCTTTGCTTGGTTTATTTCATCATAAAACTTCTCTATTTCTTCTTCTGTGCTTTCTGAGGTTGGCGCATACGCTTGGATGATGGTTGTATCGAAGGGTGATCCTTTCAGTCTCACCAGCATAACTCTGTCTGATATTGTCAGGTACCCCTTAAGTGTCTTCGATGTTGGCATGTCCATGATGACCGCTACTCCTCTTTCATGTTTGTCGCCTCCTGAGTAAATGATGTTATAGCTGTCGGACAATATTCTGCCCGCTCCTGTCCATCGTACTTCACATAAACCCATGATGTTTAACATTCATTCTCTTCATTTCTTTCTTGATGTTGTCCAGTTTTCCTTTCTCTAGCATTGTTCTCACATTCCAGGTTGCTATGTTTCTTGTTTGATTTTTCCTTTTGTGAGCAGTATCTTGATGACGATCTGGTGTCACTTGCTGTGCATGACTGACCCTACCGGACGAGGCAGTTCTTTCAGAGTTCCCCTTTACGTCGTTATCTTTAAAGTCTTTATTTATTGAAATGTTATGATCCATAATGTTTCTAGGGAAAGAATACAGCTGTGGTTTTCCCTTGCCTTCTGCTGGATTTTTGTACGGTTTACTCCGCTAGCCTTTGTCCAAAAGGACTAACCCACAAGGCAGTGGGGGCAGGTTTCGGCGCCTCCCTCTCGCCTGACAGTCTGATTACTGAGCACATGAGGTATTTTATAGAGACAGGGTTGCCACCACCCTGTCCCACCTCGCTCTCCAAGACTGTCGCCAGTTGGTCCAAGACTGTCACCAATTGGTCTGCAGCTACCCTATATAATGTAGGCCGTTCCTTTATCCGCCACCTGTGGACGCGGTGGGTCGGGGATGGTCGCCCCAGCTTTACACCCCCCCTTGAACAGATAGTCCTGTCTTTTTCTGTCAAGTCCCCTTGGCTGTAAGTAAGATAGGGGGGAGTCAATCTCGGTGTCACGTTTCAAAAGGTGCTGCAACACTGGCCCAGAGCTGGTGAGAGGTTTGAGTGCCATGGTACCAGATGTGTCGCTGTTTGTCATATGCTGGAAAGACTTGGTGTTCTTTACTTTTTTTAAGTGCTTGTCCAGAAATGAGTCCCATTTGTATGAAATGACGTTCACATTGTTCGGTCTGGTTCTGTCGATTCCTGCACAACTTAAGCAACGCACTGAAGCTGTTGGCTTTCGTTCTGCTATACAGGCGCTTTACAAGCCCAAAACAGCCATCGGGGCTGAACTTCGCATGGCCAATAATACCAAAAAACAAAAACAAAATGATAATAGAGTAATGACAACCAGTTAACACAAGCCGAGTTTTTATTTTGGCCTGAGCAGTTGTTTGCATACAGATGGAGGTGCTTCTCCCCCAAACCGTAGAACTCAAAAAAATGATGGAGGAGGGAGATGACACAATTTGCCCCTTTTCCAACACACACAAGTTCGTCAGTCAGGTAGTTGACCTGCTGCTGAACTGCCTCGCATCAAATTCCGAATAGGCCGCATTTCCGTGGTGTCTTGAAATAAATGGGTCCTGGCTGGAGGGGGTCTGAAGAAAAATGCACCTGCTGTGCAAAGTAAAAGCTGTAGTGCATGGTCATGTCATGCGAACATGCTTGGTTTTTGCCCAGGGTCCTTTTTTCTCCGTGAAGCACTTCTTTAGACCACAATGCTGTTAAGATAAGAGCGCTCGGCTGTGACATCTGTCAAGTGCTGTTCCATGGATCTCAGGGCGTAAAACTTCAGCTCCTCTGACAGGTTTCTGGACCTTGCAACCTGAGCAGTTCCTTCTTGACAAGTCCAGCAAAGATCTGTAGCAGGCCGCATGGTGCTGATGAGCGGCACAATTTTCTTCCAGATGTCCCGAAACTGAGTAAGGCTTGCAACCCGCGGATCAGGTGCTGGTGAGGCGACATACTTATCATACACCATCTCCTTGGTTCAGTTCATTAGTAGAAGTCTGAGGTTGCTGTTCCTATGTTTTGGGGTGCTGCCAGTTAGCAAAATGGCATGCGTCTCAGCATAGTTTGTG